CTCATCACCACCCACCGCCAACTCTTGGGCTACTCTTTTACCAACGTCACATTATAACGCCCCCACGGCTGAAAGGGCGAGCATGTTTGGTGTGAGAGGGATTCGAACCCGCGACCCTCAGATTGCGAGTCGAGTGCCTGGCCATGCCGGGCCGTTGGAACACAAATAGAATGTTTATAGAAAAAAGCCATTTACTTGTTCAGAAGGGCTTATAAATTTAAAATCTTAATATTACCTTCAGATTAAAGCAATCTATGTACTTAGAGAGAAAGAAATTAAAAATCAACCTGGTTATCAGTATAACTCATTAAATATACATTAATACCTATAAAGATTAAAAAGCATTGTTTCTTCAGTTGGATACCTTCGCTGTTAACGATATTTTCGGTTGTAATTCCAATAATATCCTATAAGGTTCGGCCAGCTTAGGAGATCTATGTTAGTACTATATATATATATATATATAAAGCTCACAATGTAAAACAATATTTCTAATGAAATTATAAATATAAACAATAAAGGAGATACTAAATAGTATAATCAGCATATGAAAGTAACAATAAACAAATCATGTAATCAGACATATATATTGCTACATATATTGAGCTAAAAATCTGCTTTGGATATGCTGTTTGCACAAAACACACATAACGAAAATAGTTGTTAGTTCGAAAAATGTTCTTAATGTATAAAAATCATCCAGTACAGTGGCTCTACATAACCAAATATAGTAAACTTTCAAGTTAAAATTTTATCATAGTTTTGATAAATAGTATTACTTAAATCATGTGTTTGTTATGCATGTAGTAACTAACACACGCACGAGAGAAGGTAACGAACCGAAGTATTTCAACATTCGGAACATTGATGGATGAAGTAAATACACAGTCATCGTAACACTACAAGAAAACACGCTCGAGAATCTTGTGATGAAAGAGAACTGTAGTGAGTTGCTATTGGTTAATTGAAAGAAACAAAACTGGATGTGAAGACAATACACACAATGCTTTCACAACCTACATTCTCTCTATAGCTGACCAATCATGAAATTGGATCACAGATATGAGAAATCATCTGTGTTCTATATAATACTTACAAAACAGCCTCACACTCGGGTGATATAAGGTATACTACTTCCATTCCTGATACAGCAGATAACGTTTAACGGAGAGATCAAGCTACAGAGGTTAATACTTAAAGTTGAATTAACACAAGACCTCTTCTGGATTGATCAGGTAAGATATAGAAATCGGTTAAAATTTTCAAAATCATTATATATATATATTAAGCGAATGTGATATATGATATATCCATATACAGATATATGATACTACAAATTTACATCGGTAAATGGTGTTTTTTGTCCGTTAATTTCTATCTTTCTTGTCCGGTAAAAATTTTCAAAATCATTATATATATATATTAAGCGAATGTGATATATGATATATCCATATACAGATATATGATACTACAAATTTACATCGGTAAATGGTGTTTTTTGTCCGTTAATTTCTATCTTTCCAAGAAAGTTCATCACTATTTAAAAAAAATTTCCAAGGTTTGTATGCTCTCTACATGTTAAACATTAGTCAATGTTCCCAAATTGTTCTTTTGTTGCTATGGTATGTTTTTGGTGTGAAAGACATCCGAAGGCAACACCACCCATCACTTATGTGTCTGTTAACAATTCGCTACCCATTTACGTCGATAGCATTGAGTCCCGCCCTCCAAATGAAAACAGTTGCTCCGCCTGCGTAGCATAAAAGGTACTATTTGCCGCAGACGTGACATGCTAGAAGCTATTCGCGACAGTAATATGAGTACCCTCCCTGCTTGTTCTCATATGTGTATCGGCGGGTAAATCTAACTTATGTCCGAATTGGATACAATAGCCACCCGTTATTGCCTGATGATCTAGCCACTTAGAAAAATGTGTGGAAGTATCGCGCGTAGTTCACCATACAGTTGCACAATATTCAACAGTTCCACGCTTAATAATCAGTTCATACGTGTCTGTTCTTTATATAAATGACTTTTATAAGAGCTGATTCGAAGAACATTTTTAGATTAAACAAAATGTATACCGGAATATGGAATAGCTAAGTGTATCAAAGCAGTTTTTTTTTTGCTATACAATAGGAAAAACATTTTTCAGCGAGTGTGAACTGCATATCGTTGTGACACACCAACAAAACACGCAGACTTAACTACGTTAACGGAGAAAGTTAGGGATAACAAATTGCTTCTTCAATTATATCTTATATTTTATAAAACTGCCTTAAGACCTTCAAAACGCTGCTCGAAGCTAAGAAAATCGGTCGTAAAAAGGAAAAACAATTAAATGTTAAGTTAATTAAACGTGTTTACAGACGTTTCGGGCTTCCTTGTCAAGTTCTGTAAGACAATAAAGGATGGTGTAAAAATGATGCATGCATGTTGTGTCTAATACACCTGTAACGCGACAGCTGAACAGATGGACACGTGGTGAACGAGAAGCTTATATAACGTTCAGAGTTTGCCGTGAAGCAAGTCGTTAAGATGCGGAAAGCTCCAATTACCAGCCCGTGTGCTATGACTACACCGAAGTCCTCGGTTAAAGCTACCGACTTTTCAATTGCCGCGATCATGGCTCGACAAGGTCCGAAGTTCTGTGCACCACTGGCGGCAGAGAAAGATGCCGTAATCTCAGGTAGGTTCAATTCGTGCCTGCAGATACACCTAAGTTAGTTAAAATTGAATCATTCTATGGGACATGAAAATGATTCTTGGAATTGTTTTCTTCTTCCAATCTCGGAATGGAAAACAGTGTTAACGCTGCTACAGGAAATTATAAATGTGTCAATTTAAGCTCTATACGTTATCTATTGTTGTTTTTTTTCTTGTTTATATATATATATATATAGTCCTAAACCTTCAACGTGGTAAAAACAAATACACAACTGAAATCATTCAGGTTCAGGAAGAATAGGTTTTTAATAGGTTTTCATTTTTTCCTCACAGGTGTTTATATTTAATAACTTTAGGTACGTAAGCAATGATGAGTGTATATATACTATTTAGCCTACGAAACCAGATTGTAATGTACTTAATGTTGTTTCAGTTAGATATTAAGCTAACCACATGTTAAAAAATTATAAACAAGTTCAATCTGAAATGTGACAAGGTCTCATAGTTTCGATTTTAAACAATGAATTAACAGTAAGTTTTCAGAGAATTATCAAACGTAAAACGACAAACCTAAAAAAAATTATACATTATTTGTACAAGTAGCATGTTCGCATTATATGCAATAATATAAAGGCAATATAAAACACCATAAAGGAGAGGCATGAACTGATGAAATATATAGTTAAAGACATATTTTGGCAAAATCGTAAAGCAAGAAGTTATTGTAACCTGTGTAATAACATTCCAAAGTAACACGATTCTGTTCATATAAAATATATTGTTTGGCCTATAAGGAGATTACCTATGGTTACAATTAGTCATTGAGTATATCTTCATGTTTCTATGAAAAATCTAAAGCACGTGAAAATATTAGGTCGTCAAGAAATTAATGTCGCGTTTTGGAACACTTTCATTACCCCACTCCCCCCCCCAAAAAAAGTACATCACGTATAATAGTTAAACGAAACGCCTAAACGTCACGTTAGTGTGGCCTATATAATGTGTAAAGTTTAGTATACTCTAATCCTTTATAGTGGTGGCACACGACGAGATATACATTTGGCAGGTAATGCTGTTTGAATACAAGAAGAGAAACAAAGCATCTGTAGCCACAAAGAATATCAAAGAAGTTTATGGAAATGTTTTGAACGTTCGTAAGTGTCAGCGATAGTTCAGCAAATTTCGTTCAGGTGGCTTTAGCCTCAAAAACTATG